GACCCCTCAGGGGATGGTGGGGCCTCTGGTTCCTCCTCCTCCTCGAGCTCTCGCTGCCTTCCCATTAACGCTTCCCGTATCTATACAGGCCTCCTTGGGAATCTACTAACCGGACGTTTAAAGAAGTGGGTGAAAAACTCCGGATCAGTTCCCCCTTCCCCACCTTAACATTGGTGTTGTTCTCTTCCTCATCACTACTAATATCGATGGGCTGCCTAGTCCGACCTCCAGAGCTTCGTCTCCGACCCTTCTCCAAATCGCCATCATGTAGAATACCAAGTTCTGAGGAGCCCTTCAAACTGCTCCTCCCCCTTCCTCCTCCTTACCTCCCCTCAGCACCTCTTTAGCCTCCCTATTGACCTCGAACGCCAAGCCCTGACCTATGCCTCGAGGACGGGTCGGTAGCAACCAAGTGACTATGTTGTGGCCTATCGAAGGGGAGCTGCCCTCTCCTGTTGGGAGGATTCTCACCCATAACAGCCTGCCAGTTTCGTATGAGGCCGACGTCATAAGGGGACCTCTGCGGCATTCGGGCGACTATGTTTTTCGATAACTCCCCTGCCTCCCCTCCTCCACCGTCCCGGCGCTTCTCACAGTACCTGTAGTTTATGCAACTTTACCATGTATAATTATTTTCCACCAAACTCACTCGACTGTGGTGACGTTAGTTGATATCAGCCATGCATGGAAAGCGAAGAATGGCGTGACGATGACAGAGAGGAGTCCCGAGATGCTGAAGCCCTCCAGCAGGAAGAGTAGTTGACCTACTCAATAGAGGCATCAATAGCATACAGGAGGAGGGAGGGGGCGTCGCACCCGGGTTGGCGGCGAAACCCCCCGCGACGTGAGCCAGGGCGTGCAGGATTTGGCAGGTGACCGTGTTGCAGGCTATGACGACGTAGAGGAGGAAGAGGAAGAAGTATCTGAGGTGTGGTATGGGAGGCCGGCTGAGGAGGGAGGGGGTGATGGAGATGACTTATGGTTGTAGAATCCAACGCTGTTGGCGAGCCAGGGGCAGTAGTGGTCCATTCGGAGGACATTGCGGCCCATAGGGGAACAGAAATGCGCTCGGTCGGGTTTGAACTTGTGCTCTTTATTGCAATACCTGCGAGGAGTTATCCACGAGTTGA